AAGCTATTTGTCCAAGATGAGGGGGCAGAAGAAGAAAGGAGAGAGAGAAAAAGAAGGAGGAGGAGGAGGAAGAAGGAGAAAGAAGGGGGTGGGAGAGGTGAGGAGGGGATGGGAGGAGAGGAAAGGGGAAGAGAGGAGAGAAACGAAAACCATGCTTGTCTTGTGGAGAAAGACTGGGAAGGGCTGTTTCCAGTGGGGGCACCTGTCGGCCTCCTCATTGTGAGATGCTCCGGAGCATACGGGACCTTGAGTTAGGAGATGGGTTCTGGTTCTGCCCCTGCCCTTAGCCACCTGTGTGGCTTTGGGGAAACAGGTTCCTTCACCAAGTCACCAGTTCAGATCTGTAAAAGGATGGGCATGAGTGGAGTAAAATAGACCGAGAGCTTCTGAAATTTAACAGGCACATGAATGTTCTGGAAAACGTGTTACAGTGTGGATTGCTGGGTCCCCGCTCCAGGAATTCTGATCAGGAAGTCTGGGGAGGGGCTCCCGCGTGAGGCAGATGCTGCCCTTTATTGACCTCCCTTGAGTAGCCTTGGCGGATGATCTTTAACGCTCCTTCCTGTTCCGCCGTTCAGTGATTGAAAATATTCAAGAGCTCCCGGCCATTGTGCGCTGAGCCAGGGGCTGGGAATACAAAATAGAAGAGGTTTCTGCCTTTCGGGCCTAGCAGTGTCAATGTGGAAACAGACGGGTGAGCGAATGGCGTTGTCACACAAGGCCCACGGGGGAAGTGCTAAGGCAGGAGTGGTCAGCGCCTTGTGCGGGAGGCAGGCAGGGCTTCAGGGAGGAGGGTGTCGGGGTGAGCCTGTAGGGGGAGCCTTTGGGTCTCGGTTGTCCTTAGACAGCAAGATGCGTGTGGGGCGATTTCTGGGGAGAGGGCGGTGTTGGCTGTTTGGAACGTGGCCCTCAGAGGACTGCTGGGCCAAGGGCTCGTTGCGTGAGCTGTGGCTTCGGTGCTGCTCAGAATGATCTTCGGGCTCTGCCCTCCAGCTGAGTACAGCTGCAGTGCCGCTCTCCTTAGAGAGCCCGGGAAGAGTGGGCAGGAGCAGGTGGGCCACCTTCAAGGTTTTTTTGTAAATAGAGTGCACACACACATATCCACACACAAATACATAGAGATAAATGTGTACACACACAAACACACCCACACACAAAGTCAGTCTTCCTTGTCTGCAGATTCTGTACTTGTGAATTTGCCTACTTGCTAATATTTGCTCGCAACCTCCAAATCCATAGTCACGGCACTTTCTCAGTCATTCATGAACGTGTGCAGAGCAGCAGAAAAATGGACTCACTCAACACCCATGTTCCCAGTCGAGGTGGAACAAGGTGGTGCTTTGCCTTCTTTTTTTCAGCTCATACTGGAAATAAGTCTCCTTTTTGAGGCCTAGTTAGTATCATGTTTGGGGGACTTTTGTGCTTTTTTGGGTGATTTTGAAGTTTTAATTGGCCCCCAAGTGTAGAGCGGAAGTGCTGTGTATTATTCCTAAATGCCAGAAGGCTGTGATGTGTCTTATGAAGAAAATACATGTGTTAGAGAAGCTTCATTGAGGCATAAGCTATAGTGCTGTTGGCTAAGAGCTCAGTGTTAATTAATCAACAACATCTATTAAATAAAGTGTCTAAGCAAAAACACACATGAAACAAGGTTGTGTTTGATTACTTGATGAAAATGTTCTGACCAGAGGCTCACAGGGACATAATCCTTGACTTCCTCTAGGAAGAATGATTCACTATCCTCTAATTCAATGTTCACGACGACTTCATGGAACATAACTGCCACAGATAATGAGGGCTGACTGTATATGTGTCTTTGTGTGTACAGGCATGTATGTGTGTAAATGTGTACATGTACACCGAGTGTGTCCACTGCTTAGTATTGTCAGAGGCATTTGAACCAGAGCAATTCCATCTTGAATAGGAGCTGGGTAAAATAAGTCTGAGACCTACTGGGCTGCATTCCCAGACGGTGAAGGCATTCTAAGGCACAGGATGAGATAGGAGGTTGGAACCAAATACAGGTCATAAAGACCTTGATGATAAAACAGTTTGCAGTAAAGAAGCCGGCTAAAACCCACCCAAACCAAGATGCCCACGAAAGTGACCTCTGGTCATCCTCATTGCTACACTCCCACCAGCGCCATGACAGTTTACAAATGCCATGGCAGTGTCAGGAAATTACCCTATATGGTCTGAAAAGGGGAGACATGAATACCCACCCCTTGTTTAGCATATTGTCAAGAAATAACCATAAAAATGGGCAACCAGCTGTCTATGGAGTAGCCATTATTTTGTTCCTTTACTTTCCCAATAAACTTGATTCACTTTACTCTTTGGACTCGTCCTGAATTCTTTCTTGTGTGAGATCCAAGAATCCTCTCTTGGGGTCTGGATTGGGACCTCTTTGCTGTAACAGTATCACAGGTTAGTGTATTTAACAAGGTAATTCACAACCACAGCAAGAGCTGAATAAAATCCAGACATCTAGGTAAGCTTCAGAAGGTTCCTCACTCATCCTAACTGTAGTAGATTTTATCCAATTTCACCATCCCTTCTCCCACCAAGGTTTGAGCAAAACGCTTTTCTCCTCATTCGGAAGGTTTTTCTTTAGCTTCCACAGCCACTGGAATTCACATCTCACCAACTTGGTTTAGGTACGAGCTTACATCTCACAGAGCTAGTGTCACAACGTAGCTGAATGTGACTTCAGTATGGATCACAGGATAATTTTGAATGGGTGATGATTTTGGTTTCACTGCATTTGTTTTTTGTTTTTTTTTTTTGTTGAGACGGAGTCTCGCTCTGTTGCCCAGGCTGGAGTGCAGTGGCCGGATCTCGGCTCACTGCAAGCTCCGCCTCCCGGGTTTATGCCATTCTCCTGCCTCAGCCTCCCGAGCAGCTGGGACTACAGGCGCCCGCCACCTCACCCGGCTAGTTTTTTGTATTTTTTAGTAGAGACAGGGTTTCACCGTGTTAGCCAGGATGGTCTCGATCTCCTGACCTCGTGATCCACCCGTCTCGGCCTCCCAGAGTGCTGGGATTACAGGCTTGAGCCACCGCGCCCGGCCGGTTTCACTGCATTTGTATTGGTTAATTCATGCATTTGGCAGATGGATTTAATTTCTGCCATAGAGGAAGAGATGGTGTGGAGGCTTTGTGGAGGTCTCCTTCGGGATTCCTCTGTGTGGTCAAGGGAACTGAGGCACAGGATCTGGCGAGGTGAGGCAGCCAGGAAGTGGCTGGCCAGGCCTGGAGCCCCTGCAGGCTGAGGCAGGAGGCCAAGCTCAACAGCCCTTTGCCACTCCGCCCCTTATGTCTGTGTCCAGCCTTGGCTTTGTCCCCTAGGCTTCGTCAACCCTTTCTGCCTTGTTTCTGAGAAATGTGCTGAAAACACAAAAGGCCCCTTCAGGCCTTCATGGGGTTAAACGTGACCTCCCAGGGAGCCAGGGCCAAGGGGCTCTGCAGTCTTCTGGGACTGTGAACTCCCTGCCTCCCACTGGGACGGTGGTGTGGAGGGCATCTGGGTGCTCCCGGGCCTCTGTCACTCAGGACAGAGTCCTCCTGCAGGTCCTCGGGACCTGGTTGGCCAGTGGAGCGAGAGGAAGCAGTGAGGCTGAAGAAGCGAGCAGCTGGCTGCCGTCCCACATCAACAGGCCCCGTCAGTGTAAATTATTTATGCGCCATTGGGAGGCTGGACAGGCTCCTTGATGGGCTCGTTAATAAGAAGCCTGCGGATCCTGCCTTGGCCCAGATTCCTGGGGGCTAGGGGTGCGTGGAGAAGAGTGGAGGGGGAGCTATTTCCTTTTGCTCAGCATCGCCTGATTGGAAACTGTAGCGATTCCCTGTCTTCTCCAGGAGCAAGTCTGAGCTCCACGGTGCCACATGCAAGGCCTCTGTGCAGGCACAGGTCTCCCACCTCGCCTCCGCTTCAGCCAGGACAACTTTTGACTCTCTCTGCAATTGACCGTATCATTCCCAACTCCAGGTCTTTGCGTCATGCGCTCTTTCCTCTGCCTGGAATTCCTTCTGTCTCAGAACCCATGAAGACAGCCCAGATGCTACCTGCTTTGTGTGCCCCAGCTGCAACTCATCCACTGGAAGGCTCAGTGCCTCCTTCCTTGTGCTCCCACAGCTGAATGCATTCTTCTTAGCGACACGACCTCCGTTCTGCACCCCAGCTGCATGCCTTGCTGAGGAACCTTGCGTTTACTCAAATAGAATACAAGAACAATGATAGCATCTCCCTTAAAGCTTTGTGGTGCAGACCAAATATACACCAAGTTTTACAGAGTGGCCAGTATTCATAAATCACCCAACAGACCCTACCTCTTCTTTAGGATTATGATGATCATTAATACAGCTCTTATATCATTTAATTGTGATAACTTCTTTTATAAGCCTCACTCTTACTAGACTGACCTACTGGAGTTCAGGGACCATGGTCTCACACATCTCCAAACCTTCAGCTTCTAGCCCAACACCTGGCTCTTAGTAAGTGTCCCATAAAGAGTATAGATCCAATGGTAGCACACATGGACAGTATCTAGCATTTATGGGGCACTTACTGTCTGCCAGGCTATGTTCTAAGCCCTTGATATGTATTAATTCATTTAATAAAATAATCCTATGAGATAGGTATTACCAGTATTCTCATTTTACAGATGAGGAAACCGAGGCACAGAGGGGTGAAGTAACTTGTGCAAAGTGATGTATTTAATGAGTAACATAATTGAGATTCAAGCCCAGAGAAATTCATACTGCAATTAATTCCACTGCCTCTCAAAGTATGACTGTCACGGCACAGAGTGGGTATTTAATTGTAAGTGCCTGGCACAGAGTAGGAGTTCAGTGAATGTTGAATCAGTGCTTTAGGCTTTTATGTGTTTTGATTGCCAAGACTAAAGGCAGGGAATTCCCACAGATCATTTACTAAAAAGGGCAAGTTTCTATTTGTTAAACTTATCTCTACAAAACGTTTCCAGGTATGTCTCCATTGTTGTGTATCCTCTCCTGAGCTGGCCTGCTCTAGATCCAGCACTTGACCTTCCTGAAGCAGGGAACAGCCTGTGTCTCCAGGCAGACCCTGTGGCCAGGCTCTGTGTTGCATCCTCATTACCGTCATCTCTGCAGGCTGCGGGACCTCATCGCTCTGCCTGAATATTCCTTTCCCTCTCTGCTGCAATTCTGCACTGCCACCGTGATCCTCCAGGTAACACTCTTTTTGTTCTTCAAGGTCAATTCACATGAACTCTCTTCTGGAAGATCCCAACTGCCACCTCCATTTCTCAGCTCCCCTACACTGGGCACACATCTACGTTATTTCTGTGTGCACACATTTATGACAAAGTGATAAATGGCGAGGGTTTTAGTGCCAGACCCCTGGCTTTTAGCCTGGCTCTGCCACCCGGTGTGAGTCTCTCCACCCCAGCCTCAATTTTCCCTACTACGAACTGGCGCTAATCATAGTACCTACCTCACAGGTTTTCGTGAGGATTAAGTAGAAGGATGCATATAAAGCACTTGAGAAGTGAACACGTCAATTGCTGCATAAGTGCTCCTGGTTCTTTTATTTTTCTAAACGTGTGTCCTTCACACCCTGGCTTACCCCGATACATCTTTGGGTCTCTGGTGTTTAGTAGAGTTCCTGCCACACAGTGGGTGCTCGATACATGACAATCAAACTGAAGTTCAGCGGCAGGCATTTGTTGAGCACTTACTATGTACTAGGTGCTGAGTATGCCAAGAATGAGGCCGCCAAAAGGTCAGGGTGCATTTATATCAAGATAGCTAATAAGAGACTGAATGGGTCCCAGTATGATACAGTCATTGGCTCATTTATTCATTAAGGCTTTTGTTGCACCAGGTTCTGGGGAGACAGATATGAATAAAATGCATTCCTGGTCCTCGAAGGGGCGTGCATGTCTGCAAAATGTATAATAGAAGCGAATGACTGTCGTCGTAGAGGTATGAACAAGTTAGACCCTGGGGCTCAGAAGTCAGACCCAGTCAGGGATTGCAGATGGGTTTGTAATGGCAGGGGCCAGAGGAGCTGGGTGAGATGGACTGTGCCTTTGCACTTGCTGACTCTCCGCTTGGGATGCTGTTCCTCCTCCACATCCTTCCAGCCTCAGAGGGCCTGTCCCCTCCTCAGTGCATTCTCCTTGGGAAGCCCACCTCCTCTTCTGTCTGTCACTGTGCTCTGTTCATTTCTTCTGAAGTGCTAACCACAATGCACAGTGAATAAAAAAGCAGAGAAGGAAGGAAACCAACACTTCTTGAATACCTACTAGGTGCCAGGCACTGTGATCTTCAATTGATGTGCATTATTTAATTAATCTTCTCAACACTCCTGGGACGCCAGAGTTATTATCGTCAGTTCGCAGACTACAATAGAGGTCCCAAGAGGGCAAGTATCTTTGCCCAAGGTCACCAGCCGGAAACAGGAATGGAACTAGAATCAGGGCTAGCTGCCACTTCATACCCGTGGCACTTTCATGGCAACGGGAGAGGCCAGGTAGGCAAGAGAGGAAGCACAGTGACTCATTTACCGCCCCAGGCATTTTCAGCAACAAGTAAGTGATTTCCCTAATTCTGGTCTGCTATTAATACAGAGACTTGGCAGCTAAGAACCAAGTTGCAGAAAAACAGGTTTTCTTCCTAGCTCAGCAGCACCACCTGCAGGCTCTGAGGGAACACGGCAAAAAAGATCAGGAGTGGGAACTCGGCTGTTTGCTGGAGCCCCAAGAGGAGACCATGAGGGAGGAACCTGAGGCATCAACCAGTCACCTTTCATCTTTAAACGAAGCAAATTGAGACCAAGAAAGGAACTTACTTCAAGTCACAAAGTTAGTGATGGCATATTTGAAGCTGTATCCCTCCTGACTCCTAGTTCAGTACCCCTTCTCCTCTCTCCCTTTCATCTTTCTTCTTCTCCCTCCTCCTTCCCTTCTCCTCCTCCTCCTCCTCCTTCCTTCCTTCCTGCTCCTTTTCTCTCTCATTTATTCACTCAGCAAACATTAATTGGGCACTTAATAGATCTTGAGCATATTCCTCTTTGTGGGATATAAATATGGATAGCTAACATTTTCTTTTTATGTTGTTGCCCGGATTAATTGACACTAACAATGTACTTCATAATTACAACGAAGATGCATTGAGCGTGACTGTGTGGCAGGCACCATGCTAAGGATTTATCTCAGTTACCCTCACAGATGAGGACACTAAGGCTTAGGGAGGCCTAAGAACATGCCCAGCATGGCTCAATTAGTTGTAAAGCTGGGATTAAAACCCAGATCCTTCTGACTCCAGGGCCAGAGATCTTAACTGTTATGTTAAATTTACTCTTTAAAGTATCTAAGGTTAATTCAAGAAGTATCCGTACTCTAAAAGAATTTTGCTCCTATTTAAAATAACGACTTTTTTTTTTTTTTTTTTTTTGAGACAGAGTCTCGCTCTGTTGCCCAGGCTGGAGTACAGTGGATCTTGGCTCACTGCAACCTCTGCCTCCTGGGTTCAAGTGATTTTCCTGCCTCAGCCTCCCGAGTAGCTGGGATTACAGGCATCAGCCACCACACCCGGCTAATTTTTGTATTTTTAGGAGAGACAGGGTTTCACCATGTTGCCCAGGCTGGTCTTGAACTCCCGACCTTGGGTGATCCTCCCACCTCGGCCTCCTAAGTGCTGGGATTACAGGTGTGAGCCACTGTGCCTGGCCTAAAATAACTACTTATTTCTTGTCTTAGAGTGGTGCTGATTCTCTTTTCAAACTAATTGCTTCTTAAATCCCTAGGAATTTATGTTAAGGTTTATCTAGGTACCAGGCACTGTGGTAGGTGCCAGGGACACTGCAGTGACTATAGGTCAGTTAGGAGTCTATGGCCTTGAAGGTGTCAGTTATGATACAAGGCAAGCCACAAAACACATCCTGATGGAAGCACCATACAACTCCAGGGAGCCCAGTCATAATACAGCTGGTGGAAATGGCGCCTCCTGACTTGTGCAGTGCACTGACTGTGTGACTGTATATGGTGTCCCTGATCGAATGGGATGGGAGCATGGGTCAGGGGCAAGGAGGCAAGGGATAAGAACAAACACTTCTGCCCTGCAGGGCAGGGAGTCTTCACAGCAAAGGGCACTGGAGTGTGAATGCTGCCAAAGCTGCGAAAACCTTAATTTCCTGTTCTCTTCACCTGGGAGATAGTGGTCAAGGTTTGAGGAAATACTTCCCTGTGTTTGGACCTGCAAGGCAGGAAATGTATTTGTTTCCATTTCTTGCACTAGCTACTAAGTTGCATTTCTTTTACATTCCCAGGAATCTTACTCTTATTCTCATTTTTGGATAGATGGGTAGTTTCTCTTTCTAGTGTAGTTGGTTCTTGAAATTAGAGCTTAACAACTGTAGGCGGGTGTCTAAAACCAGAAGATCAAGCGTGGGCAACCTTGCAGCCATTTAGGGAATTCTCTGCCAGAACCAGAGGGAAACTGACGGCGGCCCAGAGACGGAAGCGCCCGTCTCATGACCATCTCTGCCACCGAAGATGGCACCATGTGGAGATGTTTCCTCAGTACACGCTCAGCTCTCTTGGTTCTTCCTAAATATCCCTATTAACCAAGAAGACTGCTTTTTTTGCATGTGTGAAATTTTTACTTTCTTTAACTTATAGCAGAAAACAAAAGGGATTGTTTTCATTTCCCAAATATAAAATGATAGTATACTATTACCAAATTCAGACCTTTCTGGGCAGGGTGTGGTACTAAGTGACAATCTCAGGATGGGGTTTTTACTAGAAGTTACTAGAAGGATGCTGAGGGCACAAAGACGTAAAGAGCAAAACCAACACCAGCAACAGCAACGACGAGAAAACGATGAGAGACGGCTTCCAGGCCTCCAGGAGCTCCGGGCCCCTTCGTTGCTGCCTTTGCAACGACAGACTGCCCTTTGGAAACAACCACTGTGGGAAAGGATGGTGGGGATGGAGAAGTACACTGTCACCAGTTGGATGGCAAGGTGGTCTGCCCCATTCGTGTCAAAGCAGGGGGGAAACTTTGGCCTGCGAGGTGGAGGGAGGAGAAATGGTGGAGGTCATTCTTCTGGTCTACCCTAGGAGAAAGATACTGATCAGCCTTTTGATTTCTTATTAATTTGGAGCACTAAGGTTCTTTTCTTTTCCATGTAGTGTGCTCAATAGGTATTTGATAGCCAGTCTGGGTCCACAGTCAGCCCGGAAAACCTTGTTTTCATAGGAAAATGAATTTTGAAGTCCAAATAATTGCCCTAGAAATCAACTAGTGGAACATATCTGCTGTTTATGATTGTAAAGTTAATGTTGTGAAAAGAGCTATGAACTGGGAAGCTGATGCCCGGGTTCCAGGCTGCCCAGAGCCAGCTGTGTCATTGTTTTGGGCAAGTCACATCGTTTTCCTCTTTGGACTCTCACCTATAGAACCAGGACTTGGACCAGATGAACTCTACGCTCCTTTGGGCTCTGCCTTTGGGACTTTGGGTGTCTTTGTTGGGTTGTTTTCAATTCCAGCACATTGTTGCATTTCTTACTAAATAGAATGCTTCTTTGGCCCAGGACTTGTGGGCTCCTGATGCATTTGTCACTCTTGTGTCAGCTGGTTTTTGGCTGGGTCCAGCCAGAGGAAGGCACTGGCGGAAGATCAAAGCGGATCAGGAAAGGAAAGACCAGGGTGTTTCTCCTCCCCTCCGCCTTCAGAGGTGTCTCTGGCAGAGAGGTTGCATTTCTTCCTTGGTTCTAGCTCCTGCCACGGTTCCAGTTTCTTATAGGGTAAGCCTAAGCCTTGGGATGCTGCGATCCTGCCTCTTCCCGTTGTTCTACCAGCTTAGGAGTGATAGTGGCTTCCTGCTATTATTCATCTCTGAATTGAAAGACACTATTTTCTGGTTCTCCTTCCAGCTCTTCACCTAGGTAACCCATTCTTCATATTAATTTCCCCTGGTTTCAAATACCTAGAGTGGTTTCTGTTTACTTGGTTGGACTTTGACTGGGGCATTAAACTTTTATTGGTTTTACCTTGTAACAATAAAGATGATGATAATGTTGATGATTATAACTCCTCGCTCGGTGTACAACCTCACATATTACAGAACTTTCACTCAGGTTCTGTAATTTGAGTCTGCTAATAACTGCATGATGTAAGAAAGGCATTTATCATTAATTCCTCTTTACAGAAGAGGAAATGATT